CTGTGCCAGAAACCCCAAGGAATATTACCATGAGGACTGTATTAATAATGTGCCTACTTTTTATTTAAATGCATTTAAACAGAAAGTTCTTGTATTATTGTCAAAGGTGAGTTATTGTGCTCAGCAATGCCAGAGCTGAATTAACTCCAGGCTATCATATCAACCTGTCCGCTCCCTCCGCTCAGCAGGCTGTGGCCTGTCAACGTCCCCCGCCCAACCATCGGCGGGTTGGGCCTTCAGCTTTTCTGCCCCCACCATTTGGAACTCCATCCCACATTCCCTTCGCCTTGCTCCCTCCTTTGCCTCCTTCAAGGCGCATCTCAAAACCTTCTACTTCGATCGCGCCTTCAGCCATCCCTTCCTACCTGCCCTGCCCTCTGCTCTCCCCAATCCCGACACCCAGCTTGGGTCCAAATCCCTGATCATCCAGTACTTTGGAACGTCCTCCCAAAATGAAAGGCAGTATACAAATGTAATTTTGTATTGTATTTTCTCTGCTGGTAAATTTTCCAAACCTGCCAAATGAGAAGATCCCACTACAAAGCATAATAAATGATCCTTGCAGCCGATCTAGCACCTTACCAGGATTTTACTGTAAAATGTAGTGCCTGTGTATTTTTAGAACCTTAGACATTTATGGCACAGAAGAAGGCCATTTACCCATCGTGCTGGCAAAGTAGGCATTATTAGTCAATGCAATTTGGCAGTCATCATGCAGGCATACACCATTATATTTTCCCAAAAGGGGAGAAGGAAATACCAAACCACCCATGGCTTCTTAACAACAAATTGCATTTGTATAGCACTTTTCGCGTCAGGAGGAGTGCCAAGGCACTGGACAGTCAAGGAGTTGCATCCAGCTAGGGTTGGGATCATGAGGGGTGGAGGGCAGGGAAGGTAGGAGTAGGAGGGTGACCGAAGGCGCAGTCGAAGAGGAGGTTTAACAGTTTTGCTCAGCAACTCCGAGCCAATTCTCCTGACAACGTATTTACTGTTTACATAGATTTATTTAAAATAAATCACAATTATTAACTTTGACATTTTAAAAAAAAGTATTGGCACACTATTACAATACACATCAACCTTGCATTTGATACACGGGGATACATTCTACCTGAATCTACATTTGTTCTATTTTAGCATTTTAGAGTGTCCAGAATTTGGCCAATTGATAAATTTAATCAGGAATATGAAGCCAGCTTCTTGTATTTATTAGAAGATGTTGCAGAAAAGTGGCTTCAAAGGTAAGATTGTATTTAAGAATTACTAAATTCTGCATGCCCTGAAATGCTAAGAGTGATTTCTATTTCCCTGGTGCTCATAAAGTTAAAACGCATCAAAGTACGTCAGACTATCCCTGTTTGGCTAACATTTGCAAATGAATAACCCACTGCTGTAAATAGCATTGGCCTTTAACTAAAAAAAACTGCTAGCAATCAAACCAACAAGTTAGGAACAGAAGAGAAATAAATGAGTTAACTTTGGATCTGCTTGTAATAGAACAAGTGGGTCCAGCCAGCCCAGAGTAAACCTCTGTGGATTAAGGTAAATCTGTAGGCCTTGGGCTACTCTCTAAAGGGTGTGCAGTGAAGTGTGAAAAGGCCAATGTGCCACTGGTATCTCCTTTCATGTCTATGAATAGCTGCTGTTTTCACACCTGAACATTTTTGTCTTAGGTATACATGCCACAGATAAGGAACATCAGACAATACCACGGCAAATTACACAGATGATTTAACAAATCACTTTTTACAAATAAAGCTGCATTTAACCCTTTCAGGTCTATTAGTATCTTTCAGCAGAACACTCCTTTTTCCACATTTAATGACCCATTAAATCGACTGCCAGATTACATCAACTGATGATGTAAAGCAGCATGCAGAGGGTGTAACTCTTGATGACCTAACACCCTGAAAAGCCCCTTTTTAGTTTTAAAAAAACCCTCTCCAGCTAGTGCTCAGCGGAGTGTACCCTTGGATGTTGAAGCAAGGCTTATTTATGCTGATCTATACCTCAGCAAATTGGATATACAAAAAGACTTGAGGATACTGATTTGGAGTTTTCAAGTTGGAAACACCCATGGTGTAAGGAGGTAGAACGCGAGTGGGTGTTGTGAAGACAATAAACGCAACCAGCCATGGAAGCTGTCTGAACAGTTTGCAACATCCCAGAACCTTTAACATGGCTCTAGAATAATGGAAACACTGACAGAGTCCCCTTCATGTAATACTCCATTCAACTCCCATATGGCAACCACCCAAATCACCTGCGCTACTGTTCAATTGATTCAGGAGGCCCCCTGCGTAATCTACAACTCGTACCTTAGAGCCCCAAGAAAGAAAAAACTAATTAAACACACAGTTGATTTAGCTTTAGATAGTCTATTAATCACTGCCTCATCTACCCCAGGGACCTCCTCAAGTCCTGAATTTTCATGTTATTGTTATGGTGTGTAACTATCAGTGCAGGAACCAGAAACAAAGGTTTATGTTTTTGGTAATAAGGCTCAGTCCATACGTCTCCCTCAATGTACTGTAATAGTCTCCCAACACTCATCACCTATTTATCTGTTGTTTCTGCTATGCTATGGATGCCCAAAGCATAATTTGTCCTACTGATTTAGAATCAGTCCACACTTACCATTACAATCTGCTACAAGAATTCACATAAGTCTGATAGTCAGCAAGTCCTTTTTGCATTTAGAATGAATACAATCCAGATTTGTTCAGTGACCGAAGAGGTTAACCAAGAGTGCGGGAACATATTTACACATTTGGGAGTTTCAACCTGCTTCAAGTGTATGACTGTGAAATGAAGTACTAGCAGATTTGTGGGGGAACTCCATTCATAATAACAATAATCCTTGGATTTGATATATCGTCTTATCACGTCGTTAAGACGTCTCAAAACGCTTCAAAGAATATATTGCAAAATAGATTGACTGTGTATTTTGTAATAATATAATGATAATAATCCTTGCATTTGATATAGCGCTTTTCACGTCGGGAGGACGTCCCAAAGCGCTTCACAGAACACACTGTAAAGTGAATTAACTGTATATTTGTGGGCGAACGCGGTAGCCAATTGCGCACAGCAGTGTCCCACAAACAGTCGTAGATTGTAAAATGACCAATTTATTAGTTTTTGGTTTTGGAGGAATTATTATTAGGCTCTGTGTGGAGTAAGGAAACTTGCCCAAGGTTTCACCCTCTGCCTGGAATTGAACTCGGGTCTCTCGCTTGCAAAGCGAGTGCTCTAACCACTGAGCTACATTTGTAGGTGAAACGTGGCATCCAATTTTTTTTGAGGGATTATTACCCCCAGAAAGCAATCTGCCAATCGACTAACAATCGGGTTCCTACTTACTGTTAGGTAAACAGAGGTTCGTGGAGTAAACTTGCCTAAGGTTTCGCCCGCCCAGGAATGGAACCCAGGTCCTCTCACTTGCGAGGCGAGCGCGCTACCTACTACGCTACAGGACTCCACATCTGCCGTGGAAACACCAGTCCATTGCAAGAAACATTTTTGGAGCAACGCCACAAGCACAAGGATAACCGCAGAGCGTTTATGTAAAAAGGGCTAGGTCAAGAAATCTCACCAGTATTTTAAAGAAATAAACAACCACTTGAACGTACTTTCACTGTCAGACAGGAGATGAGTGTACCTATTGAGTGTTTTCCAAGACTTAAAAAGGTGCAACAAAAAAAACTAAAGGGTCAAATTCAGATTTCTCTGGTGAGGAATGAAGATGCAAGAAATCAAATATAAATCTCAAAACCATTTTTTCAGTCACTTTCCGTCATTTACCAAGACAAAACAGTCCCCAATTGCATCTCTGGAATGTCCCATACTGTTCTGCGGATTTCCGAATAAACTAGAATTTGTGAAGAGGATTTAAAATGCCAACAAAGGAGTGAAGTGTGATTGTCTAGCTATACAATAACATTATCAGAGCAAATTGGTCTGCTGTGGTAATTGCAGGCAAATGCTTCTTTCACACCTGTGACCAGTACAGGAATGTGACCTGAAATCCATTCAGATCACTGGGCCTGCACAGCAATGAGACTATTCAGCAGGTGAACTTCTTTCGACAAAGTAGGCAGCAGGAGGGTGGCGGGGTGGGAGAAGGGAAGGGAACAGGTGTGAGTGGGGTATAAGGATTAAATGTAAGTAAAACAATTAGAAAGTACCATTCCCTGGTGCACTAGGCTTTGATTCCATTGCCATTTTTGGACTGGGACTTAGATTGGTTCCACAAAAACAGATGTGCTGGAGGATTTTTTTCACATCACTTGCTAAGCATTATTTTCACTTGTTTGAAACATTACCTCGAGGGCAGGTGAAAATAGCAACAACAGTCACAGAATGGAAGTAGTGTATTGTACCCGCAGTGGTGGCTTAGTGGGTTCATTTCCCAAGTGAAGAACTATTAGCAGGTGTTTCTCGGGAGAAAAGTAAACCTGGCAACTCACTGCTAGTGCCACAACTCTGCTCACTGGAGATCTTTGCAAGAGGGTATCAGTACATAGCATATTACTGATCACAGAATAACAATGGGGGTTCTCACTGCAAAGAGGTTCGGGGCTTCAATTGTGCGAGGTTGAAAATGTCACCATCGCAGTTGACACTTTGTGATCGGGCCATTTCTCGAAAAGTTCGACAGAAGGTCGGAATGCAAAACGCTGGCCGAAAGAGGGCTTTTAGTTATCCTTTGGGATAAGTTTCCAGTCTTTTTTTAAAATTAAAAACTTGGATTTCACACCAAATCTGATTCACAAATCGCGAGTCACTATTAGTGCAGCTATAGAATTTCCAGCTCATAAATATTTTGACTCTCTCGGTCTTCACATTCACTCGTGATATCAGTGAGTGAGACACACTTTCCTGCGTACAGTGTCAGCTTGTCTCACATAGCTGCTGTATTGCTTGCAGTAACTGCAAAAGCAATAAACGTAGAAAAAGCTATTTAGCTATTTAGCCAATTCTGGGCATCAGCTCACCTGACTGTTGATTTCAGCTTTCTGTTGAAGCAGCATAGAGACCTGATCTTTGTGTCCCCGGTCGCATGCCCAGTGCAGCAGTGCCCTACCCTATGGAAGAACAAAAGCAGATATATTTGGTAATATTTCACAAACATGTATATATTTCACAGGCCCTTCAATTATAAAACCCCACAATGTTTTATTGCAAAACAGAGTGAGAAAGTGGCTCGAATACTAAGTTGTTGTCATTATTGGGGAGTCCACAAAATGAAGTTCAACTGTACTTTAAAATGATGGGAAAACATAACAGTAAATCCTGTTATAACAATTACTTCACCAATAAATCAATGCATCAGCAACATATGAAAATCAACAGTAATACAACACAGTTGCATTCATCCGTGCTCCTAACAGCACCCAGGTAAGATTTATAAATGCCGTCAATAGATGGGAGGATTTTTCTTCTTTTCAATGTGCATTCTGTATCCCCTCTTACGTTGGAGAAGTGCTCAACCTTACCATAAGTAAGGAAGTCTCACATTTATATCCTCCAGGCAAGATCAAGCCCAGCCTAGGACTGTGCAAGTAGCTAGTTGATATAAGTAGCAGAGGTTTGAAGGAGTTGCCAGCAGTGTTGCAGCAAAAAACACGAGTCTGGATAATGTAGATAACAGAAAAAGAACAATATGTATAGCGACTGACTAGCTGAACTTTTTGCTGTTGCTAGTTTGCTTGTTGCAACCCATTTATGTCAGTTTCTTAACAAAACTCAACACACTAAACAACTTGAGCTCTGAAGAAAAGCCATTTGCTTTAAAATGCAACAAAGATAATGGAATAAGTCAAGCGAGAAACACTGCGATAGAACTAGGGATCAGGTTATGCGAGAAAGGTCAAGCTTTCAAAAGGGCCTAAGTGGTGCAGTGGGGATGGACAGGAAACCCCAAGGCCCATCAGTAATCAGCTCTACGTTTTGACTTCACGGTGAAGGATGAACCCAGCCAGATCCACGGTAAGCGCGAGGTGATGGATTTGGTTGGGTTCAAAAGGACATGGTAATTACATTACACAAATCAGAGAAAGGCAAATGAAAAAGACTGCAAGACCATGGCTCATAAGCAGTCACCTCATTCAAAAAAATCCCTATCATACCAGTTTTCTTCTGGTTGTACCAAATTACGCTACCCACAAAAAAATACGGCAGATCGAGTCCTTAAAATTTACTGGCCCATTGTGATTCTGCAAAATCATGTGAACTTGCCTTTAAATTTTATTGTCTTGCAAGTCAATGATGGGCAATTATTTTATAATTTTTCTTAAGACTTTTACTGAGCTGCAGCTGAGTACATCTGCAATCCATTCACAGAATATCAGCGTAAGGGTGACATTTTATTGAACGAATAAAAGAAAATGAAAAACGACCAGTATAAACCAAAACGCAGCTAGCTATGGTACAGGACTTAAGAACCTAAATACAGGTTTGTACTGACGAAGGAAGGGCTGAAGTCTCAGATCACATGTCAAATTTGCTGAGTTTAACGGCCGATTTCAATACCACAGCATGATCCAGAAACAAGCTCTTCCTGATATTGCATCTTTCAAAATACTAAATGGCTTGTTATGTTATGGCTGAAGTGTCAGATATTTAATCAGCATTTTTAGCTGAACTGTTGCTTTAATCCATTTGCTTGTGGTTTCCTGGGGGGGGGGGGGGGGGGGCGGGTGAAGGAGGGTATTGACAAAAAGCAAGAGATAAAGAGCAACACAAAAGCAATACTGTTTCCTACAAAAGGATGCTGCCCTCTACTGCTACAGGAAAGCAGAGTCAATTCCCATTCAGTACACAGCTTTTGTGAAACAAAATGTTATTCGCCCATCAGGATTTCTGAAATTTGAAAAAAGGTGAGGTTCTGCTATCGTGATCAATGAAAATATACACATATTATGCACCTAGTAGATGCAGTGAGTGACTATTTAATCTCTAAAATATTGAACGATGAGCTAACATGAATCACAAATGAAGCCAAAAATGGGTTGCATGGTTGGATTATCATAAAATATTTTTCGTTCTCTGGATTTATTTGCCCCACACGCTGTTTATGGAGTTCCACAATACTCAAATGGGCCTAAAAGTAAGAATGTCATTGTCACACTGAATAATGTACCTCCTCGTCCTTCAGGTTAACGTCCACATTCTTGGAAATGAGGGCTTTCGAAACATGGTCAATGTTGTTCTCTCTACAATGGTCAAATATAGTTTTCTCTTCTTCTCTGTAACGGTAGGAAACAAAATATTTTCATATATAATCAAGTGCAATCGTACAAGAGGAGACATTTGAAAATGGACAGAAAAGTATTGAGATTGCAAATTACAAAACCAAAGGCAAATTTACAGTATGTTCTGTGAAGTGCTTTGAGACATCTCAAAGACATGATAAAGGCTCTATAGCAAATTCAAGGATTATTATTATTATTTAAAAATCTTTCACATATATTCTCAAATTGCTGTTATTTCAGTTGCCTCTGCATTTATTAATGTTAATCTTATATATAAAAAGCACTTCAAAAATTGCTTGGTGAGTCAGTAGAGATGTCAACTTGGACCACTTTACAAAATATTCTGCCAAGCGCTTTAAGACGTCTCAAAGACATGATGAGGCGCGATATCAAATACAAGGATTATTTATATCATAGATATTTTCTCAGATATCTGGGGGCACAGTCACCTCCAGGCAGCTCTTACTGCAACACTGTCAGAGGCCAGAGGCAGCTCGCCTGCCTGCTCTCTCGACCAGAAGTGGTGCATAGCACCACATGACTTAAGCAAGAGCTTTTTAAAAAAAATTAAGAATAAGAGACCATTTCAACACAAAATACAATTAAAAAAACATTTACCCTTTACTCAAACTAAAAATTCTGGGTCACCATTGTGTCTCCTTATCCACCTGCCAGCATAAAAGAGGGAATTCTTTATCTCCCAATGGCATAATTTATCACAAGCGAACTCTCGAGAAGGTTCTTTGCAAGACCTGCAGTTTGGTTTGAAGAGGGTGACCTCCAGCAAAAGAAGTACAACGTTTCCTGCCAGGCTGTTCCAGCCCAGCTTTGCAGAGAGGCAATTAAACACTGCTCACTTATGGACAGCTTGCCTCGACTTTTGTCTTTGTTAAGATAAATTCATACAGTGGTGTGAAGGATTGGATTCCATTCTAATACCACTAGGTTGCCAGAAGTTGTCTTGCTGTCCTGTACTGTACCTTCAGTCTCCTGCCTGCTGGAGCAGATCACACATTTGTCTTATGTGTAAAGTTTCTTTCCCAAAAGTCAAACTGCATTTAAACAAAATTACTTTTGTAGGCTGGTTCTATTTTTAATAATATTGGCAAAACATAACAGCAATAACAGTGATCCATTGTGGAAAGGTATGGCTCACTAAACCAGTGCACATATCTATATCTGAATGAATGTTTAAACAGCTTTTTGGGACTGTTTGGCCAGGAAAGCATAGCAGGGAAAGAATCTGTCAGTGTTGCAATGAATTAGTGGTATAAGCAGGAGGATCAGCCTGGTACTAACTTGATGCTGTTGAAAGATGACACTGAGCAGAGCACGTTCAAGAGCGAGCCCACAAGGGATTTCCGCAACAGTTTTTGTTTATGTTGAGGTCTCCTTCGGGAGAAATTTTCACTTAATCTATAATTATCTCTGTGCTTTAATCACTTCCCTACTTCAGAGGCTGCGATGCACAGGCTGCAAGAAAGCTCATTAACTGAACACATCTCTTCTCCCCTGTCACTGCCGCTGTTTAATTGCAATGTGCTACTATTATCTATTGCTGCAACTGTGATTTTTTTCATAATAAAAGGGGTAGGGTCTCTGAGGCACAAGCACAGCCACAGCCAATTCCCAGCTTTTTGTTAATTATTTGTGGCCAGACGCCTCTTGCAAGTTGAATAAATTGGTAACTAACTTTATTCCCTCTTGCATCCAGCTGTCATGCAAGTCCTGGAAATAAAAAGGAAGATTGGGGGTGGGGGGGAGGGGGGGGGGAGAGAGAGAGAAGAGAGAGGGGTCATAGAGGCGTCTAACACTTTATGCAACATATTAATACCTCCCAACCCTAAAACCCTGAAAACAAATCTGAATTAGCTGCCAAAACAGTTCATCTGCTCGCAGAACAACTGATATACTGGAGAGCCCACCATTCAGGCTTTGTGTGCTTTATTCAGGACTGGTCCTGGGGATCAGCTGGCTGCAGGAGTCAGTGCTGCAAAGATGCTATGTATAGAAACTGTCACAGGACTCTCACAACCTTGAGACACAAGGGGAGGTCTGCACACCAGTGGTGTATTCAAATCTTCATAGGGCACAACATAACTCGTTCCTTTGCAAAAGGATCTCTCGGGAACCCGAGGATACAAATGAGCATAATGGACAAAATACGAGACCTTGGGACAAGATGAGGAGAACGAAAGCAAAGTAAACCAAATCATCTTTCAACGGCAATTTTGAGGTATTTTTCCCTACTATTTTCTTCAGTATAAAGTGCCACAGGCACTTACATAGGCAAATAAAGAAATTATGTCCATCCCCTTAACATCTTAACACTGATTAACAGCAGATTCTTCAGCCCCGTCAGGAACCAGTTTATGTAAAGAAATGGACGTCATTATAATATAATATGCAGGGTTGTTAGATAATGTGCATTTCACTTTATTCAATGGTCCATTGTATTCCTGATGCCTCAGACTTCAGAGGTGTCAAGTCCAGTGCATTCAATGAAATGCAGCAAGAAGAGTACGCAGAGAAGCTGATTCTCAAACAATCCAATTTCAGCAACAATATTTGACCAATTCCTGCCAATGCATACATATCTGAACCAAGTGACATGCAAGCTGATCCATATCTTCCTAATTTTCCTCTGTGCTGTACCTCCAGTCATGCTATGTTGTGGAAACATAAGACTGGTGTCACCAAGCATTCCTAGGTCAGAAGAGGTTCAAAATAAAAGTCTTCAAGGAGAGGGACATTTTGTATACTCTGTATACTCTGTTCAGCGCCTTGGGACGTCCTCCTGACGTGAAAGGCGCTCTATAAATGGAATCTTGTTGTTGTTGTTGTTCCAATAATGTCTCAACTCCGGCTCTCAGACTCACCTCTACCTACACTAATCTCTCCTGCATCAAGTTACGGGCAGATAATGTGGTAAATATGCCCACTAAGAACTAGATTAGAGCTGCCCCAAACTCCCTTGCAACCAGCAGATCAACGTTCATCCCATCAGTTCAATCCTAGGTCCCAAGAAACGAATGACATTTGTTAACCCACTGAGTCACTCAAATCCCCAATTAATGCCATTTAGAGCCTGGGGCCATTCCCCACCAAATCATTCCTCGCTCCCAAATGGCACGGGTAAGATTGGACCTTGCCACATGGGGAAATCACAGGTGCAGGCACGCGCCCTTCAATCTTATAGCAAAGTGCCTAGGGAGCAACAAGACACTGTTCTGTCACCAAGTTTTCAGCACGAGAATCATTTAAGCTTTATTAGATAACAAGTGAACAACTTTTTTCCAAAGAAAAATGGTTGTTATTTTAAGCTCAATATTTAGTCAGCACATTCAAAGAAACTTTTTGAAATACCCGGAGCCCATACTCATTTGCCTCTCTGTAAGGCTTTTCCAGTGACTGCACCATATAAAATGCACAAAAAAAGTATCTCACTTACTGATGATTTTTATATCTCATCAGCAAAATAGGTTTATTCCAAACAAAATCTGGCTTTCTTTGAAAACTCACTAAGACAATTGGAGTGTTGTACAGAGAATGTCCAGAGGGAGCTGGACTCAGGTGGCCTCAGCTTCCCTTTGCTGGAGGGTTGGTGGAGGGAAGTGGGGGGGTTGGGTGGGTCGATATGGCTGAACACATCTGACTCTCATCTGTGATTTTCTCATCCTTGGATGGGTTTACAGTGGGGGAGGAAATCTTCAGACGTGATGTCCCGACGTCTAAATAGCTTGCTGACACTCACTTAGGTTGAATGATAAATGAAGAAAAGCCACGCGAGTACGGTACAGGTGGATTGTGGACCCTGTGGAACCTTACCCTTCCATCAGTCAGAATCTCATCAGATTCTGTTCTGCATCATTATCAAGTAAAGCTTTGTAAGCAGACATCAAATTGAGCTTCACTGAGATTTATTTATTTGAGGTTGGCACTGATGGGGGTTTGCTGAGATCGCTGTATATTCTGTGAAGTCATATATTCTGTGAAGTGGCAAATCACCAGGTGGCAGAGGAAAAAGCTGCCTGACCTCAGTTGTAATCATCTAAATTATTTCCACTTTCAAAGATATTGCGCTTTAAAACTGCTCTAACCTTCGATTGGGTTTGATTCTTGCATTGATTTCTTCCCCCCTCAAAGCTCAACATCCAGCACAATGATGTCATTGAATAGCAGGCCAAAGGGTCAACGAGCTAACAATTTAGTTTGATAGTGCACAGCTATTTTGTTGAATATATGCCTGGAGAAGGAGCAGGAAAACATCCAGGTTAGCTTAAGCAGCTCATTTAAGACCAATGTCTGGGTTTGAATCCCAGCATGCCCACTCAGGCCTTTCACTCTTTCAAAGTCCATAAAATGAGTCTGAAAATATCCTCAGAGGGAAGATAAGCAAGGTTCTCCATCATAATTCTGCAGTAAATTCAAGACATTGTTTATGGTTCATCAGCCTTCCTGCCTCCTCAAAGAAGCTTGGAGGTACAGAAATGTCTGCAAAAAGAGTCACTACAATAGACAGCAATTCTGTGTGATTTTTTTAAGCTATTCCGAAGGTGCTTAATCAAAGTCAAGGATTATTATAATTATGCCCTCATTCCCACAAGCCAAAGCTATAATATAGGGCAGCAATAGTTGGATAAGCAGCATGCAGTGCAGGTATTCTTTAAGCACCAGGTGCTATTTTAACATGGAGTCCTGTTTCAGTAATCATTGGACAAATAAAATTCAAGTATCTACCAAAAATTCAGCACTTTCTATGCAGCTGATGATTGTTAGTTGAGTAATATATAACTGCATCAAGAAACCCAGCAGGAAGCCGGTCAGTGTGAGGAGCATGTGGACTAGACCCTGTACAATCATATTCATCCCAAAGAGAGATAAAAGTTTAAGGAACAAACACAGTGGTAAATCAGCACAGAAAATGTTTATTTCACAAATATGCGATCCCACCAAATAAAGTGTGCAACAGAATCGGTGAAGAAACTGTTGCTTTAGCTATGCTTGCGTGGAGACCAAGTCCTAGGAGAGTCGAGCAATCACGATACCATGTGTTCAAATAATCTGTGCATATACCGTCAGGAGATCAGGATCCAAACAAGAGCTCTTCCCAGTAAATAAACAATGCAACAGGTGAAATGTTATACAGTGCAATTGTTTCACTCAGTTACTTAAACAGATACAATTCTTTTGAAGTACTGTATTAAGGAGCAGAAGATAAAATAGTCTGCTCCTGCATTTTTAAATAATTGAACAATGGATTTTAAATGAGGTAGTCTTGTACTTGGTGACATAATACGATTTACATTCATATTGGGAGGAAGTCTCAATTTGGCTGCATGGGCACCCAAGCTGGGAGGTAATGAGAGTGGAGAGGGAAAGATGACCAAAATATGTTCAAAGCCTTCATGCAAGCTTTGAAATTTGGGGGGGGGGAACAAGTTGGCGAGACTCTGGGATAAGGATAAGGATGTCTTTACACCTGAAGTTTTTAGTTTTCCTACACGTCTTCACTCCTTCCTCCTGTTCTTGTTAACTAATCCAAGCAATTTTTTGTGATATTGCTAATACTCAAAACTGTATTGGATTACATTCTGCAAAGTCACAGGAGAGAATCACCAGGTGGCAGAAGCAAAAACACTTCTATGCTGACAGGGTTTAGCCTAAAATTCTATCAATGATGTAGACTACAGTGTGTGTTGGATATCAGTTCCTTTGATAAAAGAATAGGAATCCAGCTGTGACTTGGGAGACCTGAAGACAAGATTAGGTTCAGCTGTGATGCCCAAATGACGAAAAGTCAAACAGCTTGGGTCCACCTTTATTCAGGAGCTAGCCAACTACATTATATATACAACACAACTACAGGCACCACACAGTGAGCCACACAATAGGACACAGCGTTTGAGTGTACATGTGTATAAGATAGGGAACCTAAGATAAATGAGTGAAAAGCTTCCCTCAAGAGAGCTCCAGAGTTTCAATAAACATGCAACAATTCGTTAACTCACCTGATCATCTCCTCCTGATAAAGGCAGCTGACGACAGGTCCTCCAAATCGTATATTGAGATCAGAATCTTTCACTGAAGCCTGAAATAGAACAACAAAACCAACAACAAATTACATTTGTATAGAGCCTTTCACGTTAGGAGGACTTCCCAAAGCCATCACCAGATGTGGTTAATACACAGTGAATGCAGCAGACAATAATGTTATTGACATTGTTAACATCTTTTCATTTTCATTTATTAGACAAGAATTTTCTAAACCAAATGGTGAAACATTGGGCTTTCCAACTGGAAATTGAAATGCCATTATACTTTATAAACCTATAATAGATCTTCAACATGGTAAATCCACAGATATTCTTGGAATCACTTATTTGATTGCGATTGCCGAGAACAAATGGAGAACCTTATCTCATATCCACATCCCAAATCACGGAAGAATTAATTCCCTCATTGCCTTGTCCACTTTTCTAACGAGAGCTCTGATACTTCAGGTTCAGTTGATTTTTCTGCAACTTTTGTAATTACTTCCTTTGACTATAGTCAATTTGGCAGCTTTAATAAAAAGAGAAACGAGAATATAGGGCTGGTGCCTGATGTGTCCATTGGTTGCGAGAGCACTTAGTCAAAGAGTTCAAAGCAATTACCAAGCATACAACAACTTCATTTCTTCTCTTCATAGCAAAAGCAAAACGGTCTCCCGAGGCTCACCTTATTTCAAACAATACCTGCAAAGAGCATATTGTACACTTGGGTGAAATTAACCTCCTTATCAAACTGCCCTCTGGTCTGTTGATAATGATTTCCAGAATTGTTAGAAATTACGTTACGGAAATGACTGAAAAGGATAACATAACATTTAGTGTAAACTCCCTCCCCCNACTTAAAAATGCGGCTCCCACCCAATAGTGTGTAAATACTCCTGAGGAGCGGATAGACCAGTCAGACCTAATCATTAGTCTATCTGATTGTGCCCTCAATTCCTCTTCAACAGTATTGTTAACTCACTGAAATTTTCTGTCTTTCCAGCTACCACAGTCACTCAACTCCTTGCATTACTGCTGACACCTACACATATCCATACCAATACAAGACAAAATAATGGCTCGCAGCACATTTCTGATCAGCTGAAGGAGCTAAGTGAACATTTATCGACTGGATAGAAATGACCAATACCATTTACAGACCACTGAGGAAAGTGGAAAGTAAAAGGACACTAGGAGAGCAAGCACTGCTAGGAAGCTGAAAAAAAACAGTTTCAAGAGATCAACCAGTAAACAAGGATGGAAAAAATCAAGCAAAAATAGAAGCAAAGCAACCGAGATTGAAAAGTAATCAAAGAACGGGGGCAGAAAGAAAATGAACATAATAGAAAACAGAAAATGGGGGAAGAATAATCTTGTTCAAATAATAGTAACAATAATAATCCTTGCATTTGATATAGTCTTATCACATCGTTGAGACGTGTCAAAGGGCTTCATAGAATATACTATAATAATGGTTAGTGGTTAATGGCTATAATAATAACAGTGGTTAGAGCACTCGCTTTGCAAGCGAGAGACCTAGGTTTGATTCCCAGCAGAGTGAAACCTTGGGCAAGTTTCCTTACTCCACCCCATGATAATAACTCTCAAGAAAAAAAACAATAATAAATTGGTCACTTAAGGCGCTATATCAAATGCAAGGATTATTATAATTATAATAATAATCCTTGCATTTGATGTAGCGCTCTTCACATCTTTTAGACGTCTCAAAGCGCTTCACGGAATAGACTGTAAAGTGAATTGACCGTATATTTGTGGGCGAAATGCGGCAGCCAATTGCGCACAGTAGTGTCCCACAAACAGTCGTGGATTGAAAATATTGAAAATGTCACATCATCTTGCTTCTGGCTACTTTTCCTAAAGCTCATATCACTTAACAGCTAACTAGAGGCACGGAAATGTTGCAAATATACCTCAAGTGTGATCAATAATAAGAATAACAAGCAACAGCAACATCAAGTTATTAATGGTTGAGGGGCACACAGATGGACAGTGCACCTATTTTAACAGAGAATCCAGTCTCTGCCGAGAGAAACCCTTTATCAGATTCAGCGAAAATCTGATAAAGTGCTTTTGAGTTACTGTGGTGAAAAGGCATTAGCAATCGTAGATAGACACCAATACGATGATTTCCCCATTTCTCATAGTGCAGGAGGAATAAAAGCCTTCTGTAAAGTGCATTAAAAAACAGTGAAGTAAACCGACCCACCTCCAAAATGAAAGCAAACCGATCGCTGGGCACTAACGCTGTGTCATTATCAGCAGGCTGAGGTGATAATGCTAAAAGAACCGTTCGTAACAGAAAACTGCTAAGCTCTTGTCCCCCGTCACAGCCATTATGTAAGGTCACGCTCTCCAGATGTGTGATCACAATCAATTATGCTGCACGATTATGCTTTGTATTGGTTGTTTAGTATTCCTTTCTGTCATTCCAGTCATACACTAGATCAGCTGTTATGTAGGATAAAGTGACATTTCTGGAAGGTTTTTAAAAGCTTCACAAGTGATTATAGAGAGAGAGAAAAAATGTCAGGCAGCCGTACAGCGAAAGTCATAGGGTGAGTCAGCAACATCAGGCACAATAAAAAGGCTGACAGCAGTCCAATTGTTTTAATTCGGACTGACCTACAAATAGGCTTTTTTATTTTGAAAACTCTTGAACTCTGCAATCCCTCCACTTTGTGCCCTCCTAACCCATCTTCTGATCTCACCTCCTAAAGACCTTCCTCTTCAACCTTCCTCTTCAACTCCCTTCTCTCGTCGGCTCGGTATCAAGCTCCGTCACTGCTCTGAGATAAATACACACACATACACTCTCACTGCACTTTACAGAGAAACTCTGTGAAGCACTTTGAGATGTTTCGATGTGATAAAGCCGTATATCAAATGTTATGTTTATTATTTATAAGGGAGCGAACTCACTTGTAACTCTAAATAGTGCATTTTAAGTTAACTCCAATTCAAACACACAAAAAGCTTGTGTCAAAAGATACTAATCACATATCCCTTTTCGTTGGTTTGGAAAGGAATCCATCTATCCTAATCTATACTTATTGCTCCATAAAGCCTTGGATCCTGCACTAAAAGCTGGCTAACCCCAAAAAATGATTGTTCCAAGGAACTTCTGCTCATTCTATCTAAGAGTTGGAGTAAAATAATCCCATATATGTTGAACAACTAAACCAGTTGACAATTCACTGACGCGCAGTCAAGCAGGCTAACATTGCTGACCTAAAAGCAATCATGCACCAGGATTTCACTGTTCCTTCCTTCCAACTATATGCCAGCCCTGCCTGTACTTTAAATTGGTAAATAAGTGCTGTGGTACTAGTGCACGGTACAGTTGTTACAGAGTTAGAACCACTACTTCAATAGATCACTGGAGCTGATGTTTAGTGCAGGAAACACAAACAAAATGAGAATTTTCAACTGCTGCTGTTTTTCGCTTTAGTGCATTGTTCAACCACTTCAGTTGCAATATCCAGTTAACATTTAACTGAGAGATGAGTCTGCTCCCAGTGGAGGGCTGCAATTGGATTTAGTTGAATAACGACATGTGAAGGACAAAGACATTTATGAGAAATTCATTCATTTTTGCAGCATGAATGATTTCCTATCCAGGAAGGTTTTGTTTCAATCACAGGTACAGGTAAAAGGTGTCAGGAAACCTTGCTCTTTTTTCATTTATGATTCACAACACATTCCAGCATTTGAACAATCACAATTTACCTTTAGGCATTTCCAAGTGACTGTCCAGGGGCTCACATGCTTGAGGAATTTGGTGACAACTTTTCACTATGTGTTTCACTCACAAAATATACAGTCAATTCATTTTACATTATATTCTGTGAACCTTCTTTGAGACGTCTCAACAACGTGATAAGGCGCTATACAAAATGCAAGAATTATTATTATTATAACTCTGTAGTGGCAATAAGAGGTGGATTATTAAATGGTTGGGTTAAATTTCACCTGCAGTTACCCAAAATACAATGAGTAAGGTCAGCAGGTTAACAGGAAAATCAAATGAAACTGTTGTTCCTTTCAGATTTTTCTGCCTAAGCTAAATTATATCTTGCTATGTAGTACTTTCTCCCTCCTCCTCCCCACCTCAAAAACCTCAGTGCTTTTCATCTACCAGAGATTCTGGTTTCAAGAGAGATTATAGTCTTAGATACAAAGCAAAATGAAAATAATTTTCTGAGCAAGTCACGATTGACCTCGGGAGCGGGGACAAGGTGAATGGTGTTTTTTTGGTTCCATCTTCTGCTCTTACCATTAAAAGTTTGAGTATATTTTGAGTACAGGGCATTAAAACACCATTAAAATGTTCTCGCTTTCACTCCTGGAAGCAGATAACTGACTGAAGCGGATAATAGAACAAAACAGACAGATGACCATGGAAACACGGAAAGGAATGTCCTGTGGCTCCAACTGAACATTTTGAAGGGACAGATGTCCTTGGGGATTTCCCCTCATTGACATGCTGATCTAACTGATGGTATATGGAGTATAATGAATGAAGATGAATTCATATTGAAACCACTGTTGAATGACCCATTTCCAAAATGCAAGGAGCAGACTATGACTGATCCTTTGTGAGTTAGAAGCTTTGCGTATGAAAAATGGGCATCATTTACACTTTACTTCAACTATGCTGGAAGAAGCTCTATTCAGCCATCGTTCCAAAGGTTTCTCAGGCTCTTACACTAAAAGTACAGTAATTTACAAGATCAGAATAGATCAAAAAATGTAAGGATTGTAGATTGCTAGATTTAGACTATTTTTGCATTTCTCCCCACCCATTACAAATTCTAACTTATTGTTTTCTGATCACATTTTTCAGATCAGCTATCATTAAGGCCTCTCTGGGTGAGATTATCCAACTAGTGCTGAAATGGAGACAGTTTCTGTTGCTGACCCACACTCATCAGCGAACAGCATGACGCAAACCCAGCTCACCCTTGCTGCTTGTAGTGAGAGCAGACCTGAGTTATTCGCCTGACCTCTATTTTGATGCAAGGTCTCAGATTGCTGC